TATTGTGTTGGTGTATAACATTCAAACCAACATGATAATTTTCTGCTATATTAATAGGACTAAATTACACAGGTTTAAAAGTAGGGTTGGGGTGGTGTGGCTGGTGAGTGTGTGGCTGGCGTGTGGTAGTGTGTGGCTGGTGAGTGTGTGGCTGGCGTGTGGTAGTGTGTGGCTGGTGAGTGTGTGGCTGGCGTGTGGTAGTGTGTGGCTGGGGAGTGTGGTAGTGTGGCGGGAGTGTAGTAGTGTGTGGTGTGGCTGGAGTGTGGTAGTGTGTGGCTGGCGTGTGGTGTGGCTGGAGTGTGGTAGTGTGTGACGAGTGTGGTAGTGTGTGGCTGGAGTGTGGTAGTGTGTGGTTGGAGTGTGGTAGTGTGTGACTAGGGGTGTGGTAGTGTGTGACTAGGGGTGTGGTAGTGTGGCTGGAGTGTAGTGTGTGGTGTGGCTGGAGTGTGGTAGTGTGTGGCTGGAGTGTGGTAGGGTGTGACTGGGAAGGAAGGCACCATGGGTGGTGGGGCAACATGGGGTGGTGGGCGGCGGTGGGCGGTGGTGGGGGTCATTGAGAACCAGCACCACCAACCCACAAACCCACAGCCACACTGCGCATGCGCCGCCGCCCACTTCCTCAAAACTAACCCCTTCTCTCCCTCTCCGCCGTCTTCCCTGCTCCTCCCGTCACTTGTCCTCGCCCTCTCCTCTCTTCGCCAAACTGTAGACGAAAAGCGAGATAAAAGCAAGGAATAAAGACGCCAGGAAAGCAAAAGTCGCCACTCAATATCCATTACTTTGAATTTACATCACGTCTGGCGACGGTGCCACGTCTCTCTACGGCTTACTGCTGCGGTGCCAAGTCTCTCACCCACTGGCGGATTCTCTCTCATCTGCGAAAGTGAAAATTGTGTTGATTTTGGCACTGAGGTCGTACTGGTAGGGCACTGGAGAGCCTCTTATGCTGTTACTGGGGAGCTTCTTATGCTGGCACTGGGGAGCCTCTTATGCTGGCACTGGGGAGCCTCTTATGCTGGTACTGGGGAGCCTCTTATGCTGGCACTGGGGAGCCTCTTATGCTGGCACTGGGGAGCCTCTTATGCTGGCACTGGGGAGCCTCTTATGCTGGCACTGGGGAGCCTCTTATGCTGGTACTAGGGAGCCTCTTACATTGGAACTGGTACAGTACTGGGGAGCCTCTTATATTGATACTGGTACAGTACTGGGGAGCCTCTTATACTGGTACAAGGGGCAATACTGGTACTGTAGAACCTTCGGTACTGTACTGGGGGTGGTAATAACTCTAGTACGCCCCTGGAACTGATACTAGTACTGGGGTGGTACTGGTATATGGTACCCCTTTTGGTACTTATACTAGTACTGGGTTAATGGGGCGGTACTCATGCTGAGATGGTACAGGTACTTTGGTGGTATGGCACTGGGACTGTGGCAGTGTGGGACAAGTACTGGTACTATACAGTTTATGATTTTAAAGACGATATATATATATATATATGCTATTAATATTCTCTTCTGCGTGTGAAGTATTATGGTAGAGCAGAGGACAGAGTGACCTTGGACAGGACCCACAACCAGTCATGCTCGCCGCCACCATCCTACACCTGCTGGCTGGTGTGTGTGTGTGGGGGGGGGGGGGGAACTACACACCCGCTGGCTGGTGTGTGTGTGTAGGCGGTTACACTCCTGCTAACTAGTGTGTGGGGAGCTACCCATCTGTTGGCTGGTTTGTGGGAGAGGGGCTACACACTTGCTGGCGTAGTGCAAGACAGGGGTAGGGGACTGCACACCTGTTGACTGAAAGGAAGGGGGGGCTACGTTCAGGTACTGGGGAAAATGCAACAGCAATATGCTACATGCTTTTTTATTTTGACTATCACCGCATATTGGCACTTTCGGCCATATGGTTATTTACTATTAAGTATTTTTCCTTTTAGGAGGATGGGTGTATGTATACAATATTTGTTTGTCTGCACAGAACACAATGTTAATTTAATGCATTGCTGATCATAATATACATGTGTATATAGGAAATGAATGAGGCAGCCTGACAACGAATACTTTTGTCAGGATAAGTGTCATTTTCCCGGTAATAAATATTATGCAGATTGGTTGAAACTCCGACGGCGGCCTTGCAATACTTTTGAAGTTGGTGTTCGGTCCCGCGATGAACCAAGTGGTTGGGCAGCCTTGCAGACATCTTAGCCATCAGCTCTGGATGCTCAGTGAGGAGTCTCAAAGTACTTTAACTAAAGATCTTCCCTGAAACACTGGCATCATATATATCAAATATATAATCCTTAATATCGTGTTTAATAACGTTTAATTCATTTGTACTGACGTATTTTTCATGAGTTCAAACCTTGATGCCCCAATTGTGTCAGTCACGATTATTAAAGCGGAACCCTTGTAAAACTTGGCCTAATAAACGCCGCGTCGTTACACAGCCTATTCTTTTTAAATTGTATTTTCGCAAAATGTTTTTTATCACGATATTGAAGTACTGTACTTTATGTGAATAATTAAATTGGTGTAATGTAAATGTGATCTTGCTACTGCAGAGACAACGCAAGATCCATTGGTCACAATTAATGCCTTCGATTGAGGTATTTGGTAAGGGCAAAGCCTAGTATGACATCCTTTCAATCCCCAATATTTATTGGGTGCTCTTTTCAACTTTGCTGCTTTAATTATTGTCAAATTCGCTTCTCAATATTACGTTCAATGAATATTTCAGAAAACCCAAAAACACATCTATTGTCTGTTGACTAAAATGAATTAAATTGATGTTAAATCTCTCTTCCAGTCAGCCTAGCCTCACCAACCACCTTCCAAGTTTACACACATCTGTTACTGCACTATGTATACGAGTCTAGTTCCTCAGTGAACTCTAGTTTACGGGCTCACTATAGCCCGTGCTACATGGAAATTTTGTTAAGAGTAACTGAATCTAAAACAACTTTGTGAACTGATGTGAATGAGGATAGCCAAAATTCATGTCTAACACCATCTCTAAAGTCACCATATAATTTCCCCCAAAGGCTCTTAAAATGCAATACTTCCTGAGCGTTTCCGTTATCTCAGTTGCTGGGATAAGATGGTCGGTTGCTTTTCTTATCTTCACCTCTTGTGGCTAATATTGTTTACACTATAAGTAATGTAATAGCTCGCAGAGGATATGCAATTTCTATAAAACTGTCTTTACAATTTTCTCAGTTTTCATTACCAATAATTATTCATCAGGGTAAGAACATAGATTCTGTTGTGGGCGGCAGTGGAAAGGTTCCAGACGTAGCTTAGCCTAGCATTTTAAAATCACCTTCAGTGGTTGATTGTTCAATAAATCCCTGAACTGTATGTTTGAAAAATCTCTCACCCTGTCAATGGAGGACAAGAAAATGTATATATGCTGATTAGCATTGTAAATGTGTGGCCACGTCTGTGGTAGAAAATAATAATAAAGTAAACCTGTTGATTTCAAGTAAAATAAAAGCTCCAGAATAAGTTAAGTGTTCCACATGGCTTCCTATTACCGATTACTAACCTCACTTTTCATTTATCCAGCATCGTGTTCTTAATGGCCATTGCCGATTTTTATGCACAGACAATTATAATGAACCTGGCAGAATTAACGCTAATCAGGATGACGTTTGCATCCTTAATGATTATCCAGGTCAAAAAGGATGTAAAATTGCAATGTTAATGATGTGGGAAATCAATAACCATGAAACCTTAATAGCTTTATTTAAAGAAATTACGACAATTTTTTTTTTACTAAAAAGTTTAAAACTTTCACTGCCCAAATATTAAACAATTCATGTCAAAAACTAAATGCAATCAAAGGATGTGGAAAAGTATATCCATGTGCATACAATATTACCTTATTACTTTAATCACATTAATAATGTTTCACATTACTCCACCTATGGATGTTTTACGATCATGTACTGTATAGTAACCGTTGTCAAAATACATTAAATTTATAAGTTTTCAGCGTTATGGAGACCGAGCAGAAGGCAGTCACCTGTCATCGAAGGTCACAAAAGCTTCTTTTTCACCCCAATTTACTCGTTATTTTCACTTCTTCGTCATTGGCCAGCAACTTTACTTTCATCAACTTACGTGGTTTTCTCCAGGCAAGTACCACCTTTGTATTTTTTGCCCTGTTGGCACTAACTTCCGAACGTTTTGAGCTATCGACTTCCAACATAGTGTCTGGAGGATATGTTGTGAAAGCTTAACCAGGAAGGAATTGTCTGGATAACAAACTTCTACGAAAACACACATTGTGTGTGTCTTGCCACATACAAACTTCCTTACTTGTCATTCAGGAAGGTGTTGATGTAGTTTGCCAGCTTAAGATAAGGTTTAAGCTCATAAAATACCAAGATTATAGACGATTCTATAAAGTTGATTGAATAATTTTTATGCAATACTTACATGCCTCGCCATTTTTTTTATCTTCAATAAAGTCGACCATTTAGAACAAGCCAAATTATATTTTCGGTTGGCAACACCGGCAGGTGGACCATTCCGGTACCAATGAGCTCCCCCCCAGGATTAAATACCTAACCCTCCAAACTATAGCATTTGGCAGTTAAGTTATGAGGTTAATCAGTGTAATCCAGTAACACGTACAACGCAGTACCACTCTTAAGGGTTACATTAGATAATAGCCGTTTTAGAGAAAGTTGTAAATTCGTTATTCCATGCACGCGCGCCGGTCTATTGCTGCAATGCGTACTTAAGGACACTAGTAGCGTCATAAGGGTACGTACTGATGCAATTTATACCGTGCACATGTATTTCACTCAAGTGGCACCTCCAGGCGCACAATGGCTAGCAGGCCATGTTCGTCCCAACTGTTCCGGTGTTGGCCGGCGTCCGTGGCTCCCATCCTGGCAATTCCGCCACTTTGTCATCTTTCATTTTCATCGTTACGATCACTGGCCCAAATCTGAAGGTCATGTCAAAAAATAAGGGACAATCAAACCCATAAGATTCATTAGAAAATTAGAAAAAAGTTTAATTTCTTCTGGTACATGAATGTGTAATAATTAATTATATTTTAAACTGTGGGTACAGCAGTATTACAGTAAATATTTCATATATCTATTAAGAGATTACCCAACTACAGCTGCATACACGTCTGCCGCCGTGGTGGGACAACAGGAAGAACGACAGGTGTTGGCAGGTGAACTTAAGACATTACAAGTCTCACAATTTAAATTAATAAATATTCAAAGTTATGTTCTCGTAACAGAAAGCATCTGCTAAAAAACGTTAAAAAATAAAAGGTTCAAAACTTCTCCACAAACAAAAATGTGACTTTTAATTTACCCTAAATAAATAGATAGCAACATAAACACCTTTACATTGCTGTGGAATTCTCCCATTTTCAAAAATAAAACACTTTCTGCACATAAAAGGAAGAGTTTTGGTCAGATGCCAAACATATGCAAGTTAGCATTTAAACATCTTTAATACTCTGTTTATGTACAATGTAACTTGGGTAATATTTAGCGAAATTTGTCAAGGAGGCAGCTGGAAGAGGAACCCACAGAGTAAGTCCTTCACAATTGTCAGAGGTCAAGTCCAGTCTAAAGTGGCAGAGCAGGGTTGTCTAGTTTCCAGAAGTCTACAGGGTGTGCGCGTCTTATGTCCAGAATCTTACAAGGGGGGTGGGCGCATGGCATGTCTCCAGCAGTCCACAGGGACATGGCATGTCTCCAGCAGTCCACAGGGACATGGCATGTCTCCAGCAGTCCACAGGGACATGGCATGTCTCCAGCAGTCCACAGGGACATGGCATGTCTCCAGCAGTCCACAGGGACATGGCATGTCTCCAGCAGTCCACAGGGACATGGCATGTCTCCAGCAGTCCACAGGGACATGGCATGTCTCCAGCAGTCCACAGGGACATGGCATGTCTCCAGCAGTCCACAGGGACATGGCATGTCTCCAGCAGTCCACAGGGACATGGCATGTCTCCAGCAGTCCACAGGGACATGGCATGTCTCCAGCAGTCCACAGGAACATGGCATGGCTCCAGCAGTCCACAGGAACATGGCATGGCTCCAGCAGTCCACAGGAACATGGCATGGCTCCAGCAGTCCATATGTGAGATCCACAGGAGCACGTCCCCTCACTCTTCATAGGAAACGAGTCCTTCACAGGCTGCCTCCTCTCTTTGTCCTGACGACAATATATAATATACAATATACTGTATAACAAACTTATTAATAATACTTTTTTATAGACTTTTGAAAGCACTAGAAAAGTAAAGAGGAGCTAGAATATAAATAATGCTAACATACACTACACTGAGGGTAGACGGGAGAGGCGTTAAAGCACAGGGACACCTTTTGGAATAATGACCAGTGGCTTATAAATATTACAAGCCAATCTGACCACACACGTCTCCATCACTCCACCGCATACACAGCGAACTCTCCTTCCTCTCAAGTTCCCACATATTGTCCACTCCTCCAAACCAGACCTGTACATGGAATTACTGATCCTCGGGGGACAGACACAGAGATCCACTGCATATACTGCGAATTATCTGTTATGACGGCCAACAACCCCCCCTCGAATAATGGGCGAATAATTAAGTTTTCAATTCTTGTTAGTGATTAAAAAAATGTGTGGTAATTTTTAAAGTTATTAAAAAAGATGAGGGTATTTTTAAATAATAGCACGAGGGGCCCTCCAACCTTCCCGCCACAGGTGTCTTTTTTCAAGAAGGGAGAACGAGGTCAACACAAAAAAAATTTGTTTTTTAAATTAACTATACAAAAATAAAATACATAACATTATTGTACACGACAAATATGATAAACTAAAGCACTTTTTATACCATTATTCAGCCATTGTGACCTTTCTCTCCCCTTAAGTGACAAGGGGTCAAATCTCCCTGGCAACAGGGGGCCTGTAGTTGTGCTCCGACTGGCAGCCTCCAGTCTAACAAGACGGTTTGTAAAAAATTGTGTTACAAATTAAGAGTACTTCACTTGTGAAAAGTAATAGTCTTCAGCAATAACAATTAGCAGACTGGGGCCAATCTTTGAGCAGTGACGTATTCTCCAGAGTAATACACACAGGTATTAGCCCTTCTCAAAATTATAAAAGAGAATCTTACAGCCGTCTTGGGTGACTTATGGTGGCCAATCTCGTCACATTCAAATTATCAGGTGGGTATATTTTCACCCTCACAACTATAGGCGTCTCCTAGCCTAGGTACACGCCGCTCTGGCAAAGAAAAAAAAACATACCTTTACATAAAGTAACTGCCTTTAACACGGTTTTATGAAAATTATAAAGCATCGTTTCTAAATTAGAAAAAGCCTAAAAACAAGGAAGGCAATCTCTCTTCTCATTGCCGGAACCAAATCCGTCTTTGGTTGGTAAGCGTGTTATTCCCTAGGTCAGGTGACCGTCGACCTGCTCGCCCGATGCGACACTCCCGCGGGCTGCCTCGCCACGCCCCCCGAGGAGTCGGCCCGGTGCCATGACCCTGTCAAATAAGGCTATAATCAACACTCGACTTGGACCAAAATAATGGGCATAATCGATAATTGACACGCCCCAACATGAAAGGCATGGCACTGTGGTCAACTCACCCTAACAAGATGAGCCAATCTGAGTTGGAAGATCTGTGGTCGAGACAGGTGAGGTAGGGTCGGCTTAGCAAGCACAGGTGGCAACAGGTGGTCGGTCCAGTGGTCCGCTATTAATCCGACCGGAGCAAGCACCTCCAACCTCCCCCCCAACACCTCCAGCGGCCGGAGGTCCCTTAAGGCTTCCCTAGACTCCAACCATTACAAACATTGCCACAAAGTCAATAAACATAAGTTAATAAAAGATTTCTATAAAATTGGATATATAGATATTTGTATGTACTGTATATATATATTTGTGTGTGTGTGCGTGTGTATATATATATATATACTGTACATATATATATTGCATGTGATTTACAATGGCTGGGCATGTGGAGTAGTCGGATTAACGACGCTCACTGTATTAGCTGGATATGTGAGGCAGCAGCAAACTGAATAACACAAACTGTATGGCATCTAGGTATAGTACAAAGATAAATTACTTCTTTTCTACTTCACTCAAATAAATAAATTACATAAATACAAGCAGTTTTCTTAATTACAAAAAAGTAAGTTTGTTCTGTACAAGAGCTGTGTTGGAGGGTGCATTCGTTCCCGCCACCCTGCCTCACCAACCCTTCATAAACTCTAAGGTTGTGGGCGCCGCGCCATGGACGCCCCAATATCACAAGCAGTACATGGGTGGAGGTGGGCATGTGGGCACGGGGATCAGGGGCATAACATACTCCACGCTGTACAAGGTATTGGGCACTGGGTGACTGTGTCATGGTTCTCAAACCTTTGATAACCTTCTATTCTCCCTTATTGATTCCCTGGATAAGGGCAGCCACTCTGCAAGTCCTCACCAGGGTTTAAATAAGACTAGGCCCAGATCCCCGGGGCCCGTGGGCTCGGGAACCACTAGTGATGGTGCCAGGAGCTGCCTTTATCCACTCGTAAACTATCACGACACAGTCACCCACAGGAGCCGCCCGTGGCCGCCACTATCACAATTTGAGCTGTCACGGCCACTGGGTCAGCGCTGGCTATCTAGTCTTGCTCACACAGCTGCTCAAAAATGGGGAGACGAAGTGAGCGTGAGATGTCGAGGGCACTCGTGACTGGGGTAGGAGAGGCTGAGTGAGAGGAGGAGAGTGAGAGTGAATCCAAGTCTCCAGCAAGAGACTCTACAGGACTGACGGGCGGAGTGTCAAGCCCTGCGAGCGAGAGAAGTGTTCCCTCTCGGACCAAGTCCAGCTCGCTAAGAGCGCGACCACCGTAGGATGATCCTCCAGGAGATCCAGGCCCTCCACTCATCCCTGGAGACCCCAGTCCAACTGAGAGTCCATCCAAGAAGCCCTTAGCACCGGCCAGACCGCACCCACCAGGAAAGAGAGTGAAGGCATCGTCGAAGAAGGACCCGCCTGAGGAGGTGGGGGAGCCGTGGAGCGAGGCAGGAGGCGAGGGCGATTCTGCAGCAGACCCCAGTGGTGCCAGAGATGATCCCATCTGTAGCATCTGGGGTCGGGAGAGTGCTGGGTGAGTATTGGTGAGTGAGATCTTGGGTGAGAGTGGCGGGTGAGAGCCAGCCAATGATCCCCGTCTCTCTTCAGGGTTGTGGATAAAATGACAGCGAGGGCCGTAGGGACAGAAGCCGATGGTGTGGAAGGTGCGGCATTGCTCTGTTTTGTATTTGGGGTGACGGGAGAGAGTGCGCAGCTCGGCGTGACCGTGAGCAAACTGACACTTGTCACCATACTTGCAGAAGCCATTCTCTTCAAAAGGTCGGCAGAGCTCAGTCTTGTAACGCGAGGAGTTGGCCTGGCGTCCCTCCCCACCTTTGACAGGCTCCGAGTGGGAACGGTCCAGCCGGCGGTGCATGTTGGATGGCTCTATGGGCGAGAGGGCAGCTTTAGCATGAGCATGCAGAAGCTGGGTGTGGGCAGAGGGTGCAGCCAGGGAGGCTCCCACAGGTGTGGAGTTCCTCTTGCTGAGGGGGAGGTGACCGCCCACTGCCTTGTGGTCCACGTCCCGTCCATCCCATCGCGCACGCAACACAGTCTGTAAACAAAAAATACACAATTATACAAACAATATCTGGTAATATATGAAGGGCGAGAAGGGCGAATAGTACAAAAAATCTAGTCACAATATGTAACCTAATACTACAAACATTCTGACCAGCACAATTGTAAGCCATAGATGTCATCAGCCGATATCTGTTTAACAGTCAGAAGCTACAGATAACGACACAACTCGAAAAACTACAACCAAAGGACGAAAGAGCAGTTGGGGTGAAGGAGCTACTTATTTAATCAGTAAAAACCAATATTAACACATGCATGCAGAAGCATGGACTGAACTATAAATACAACATTTACAAGCACTAAAAAGTGCAAAGGAAAGGAAGAAGAAACACTTTGCTAACAATTCCCCCCCCCCCCCCACCCACCCACTCGTCATCCCCACCAATGACAATATGGGATAACAATAAACAGAGGGAAGGAACCAGAGTATACATGATCATGACATACAAGATACTGACACAGTAAACAAGAAGAGCTGGGCCGCGAGAGGTTAACTCCAATTTCCCACCACAGGTCTCAAATTTTTTTATAATAAATTAAGTGTTTCTTAATTTAAGAGCCTGAAGATATTAAAAATAAAATAAACAAAATTTATTTGCCATATCTTCGAATGCAAGGGACTGAAAACCATGACCTTGTCCCCGGCGAAGACCACTAACCAAACAAATCTTTCTATCAAGTTACACAAGAACGCTTGCCTGGGTTGGGCTTCGGGCTCTCTTGTGTTTGTGTAAGAAGACCATCAGTAAATGTGTAGTTTGGGGATAGTTGCCAGTTTTTCTCACAGGGATAAGTGTATTCTCGTATATGGAGGATTGAAACTATTTCATGGAAAAACAAAAACAGCTACAGGTTAGGTAATGGATATGTATTTATACGGTTCAATTTCAATTGAAGTCAAAATGTTTTGTTGAAAAAATATTTTGCTAAATAAGATAAAAGATCTAAAGAACAAATTTAAAATCTGTTAAGCATCAGTAAGAACATTTATGGGCCGAATAATATACCACAAATCAACCCGTTCTCGCACTTTCTTATAGTCAATATTGACTTATTAAATAAGTGCACGTGACATACTAATTTATTGTGAATATTTTAGTTCACCTTGAAAAGTTTCATAGAAAACACCGACCTTACCTAACCTTCTTAGTATGTTAAGATAAGCATCTTATTGCTTCGTAATTACAATTATTACTTAACCTATACCTATAATAGGTTAAGTAATAATTGTAATTACGAAGCAATAAGATGCTTATCTTAACATACTAAGGTTAGGTAAGGTCGGTGTTTTCTATGAAGCTTTTCAATAAGTCAATATTGACTTAAAAGTGCGAGAACGGGTTGCACAAATACAGAAACACAATTGACAAATTAATGAAGGCAAGCCTTCCCCAACACCCACACTATTATACATTACCAACTGACGACCTCCCACTCCCCGCGACTCTTCCCCCACTACCAATAGACATCCTCCCTCCCCACCTCAACCACCATTTTCCCTCCCACACCCTTTCCATCCCCCCCCCCCATCCCGAAGCCTCCGCTGGGCCCAACTCGGGATTCCCTCACACTTTCTCTCACTTAAAACAGCATCTGTGCTCGTCCTTGAATAAAAGTTCCGGAATTTACTTAACCGGGCACTCGCCAATGACTACACAACATGTTATAAAAGTATAAGATCAGCGAAGGGTCAATAAAAGGACACAGAGAGGGTGCAACCTAAGGCGAGGAAGGTTTGGCAGGCAGGAAGGCAAGGTGGACAGACAAGAGAAGGAGAATGTGTTCAAAAGATGAAATAGAAAAAAAGGGTAAAGTCTCTACGTAAAATATAAGTCCAGTAGTAACCCCCCCCCCCTCCCCACACACAATGGACTCCCTTCTCTCGTCATGTCTTGTGCCGCCCCCCCTTCCCCCTCCCTCATATCCCCCCCACACTTTCTCTTGCCTCTCCCACTCACTACACTTGTTGGACCGCGTGGTGCGCGGGAGGGGGACGGAGGGGTGTAGATAAATGGCCCTACAAATAAAACTAGAACTAAAGTATAAAGGAAAGTAACGAACAAGGTTCAGCACTGGAGGTAGGTACATACCACACTAATTCGGAGCCGGATATATTTGACATGTACTTCACACAGGTCCTTACCACATACCCGACAGCAGCAAATTTTATTAGAGGGATTACATGGGTTTGTGTCAGGTATGAGTTGATAAAGTAACTGCAGATATTATGAAAAATGTTAAGTGTAATATGGTTTAAAACGTCTTCTATTATCATAATAATGTCTGGTGTAGAGGGAAGGGGTCATGACACAGTATCCACTTGTATCCCCACCTCTCTAGCGACAATCTACCTTAATTTTACAAAAGCGTTTTCAAACTCTGAACAAAATTTCGAACATAAACGAAATAAATATACCTGTACTTGCATATTAACTTGGCACCATTGCCTATGTTATGCACCAGTGCTCCTTCTCCCCCTGTCCCAGGGTGCGGTGCGATATAAGGACACCCCGACCTTACCCATGTAACACCCCCCCCCCCCAACTATGGGGTCAGGGCGAGTGGCGCCAACTGACCCAAGCGAAAGTTGGTGGTGGTGGTCCACAGTCCAACTTTCCCAAGAGTGCTCCATCTTCCCTCCTGCTGCTATTGCTCATTTGAGCTTCCTCCCACCCCCCCCCCTCTCGTACGTGCCTCCTCCCCCCTCTCGTCCGTGCCTCCTTCCCCCCCTGTCGTCCGTGCCTCCTTCCCCCTCTCGTCCGTGCCCCTCTCCTACTGCTACTCCAACAATCCTGGGCAAGTCACACCTCGTTACTAACCATAACCAGTTAACACACTTTCTTGTGTGGGGGGAAAAGCTTTCTCGGCGGCCTGTCACACCCGGAGGAGCGGGGGAAGGGGACCAAGGACCAAGTCCTCAGTTGACGGCGATCTACAATCCTGCCATAACCCTTCCAGTTTATTATCCGGCCAGCGGGTATTACAAAGATCTGAAGGTCCCACAACAATGCATCCGAATTCTGGTCTTACAGGCAGTGAGTGTGACGACGAATCCCTAGACCGACCTGCCTATTGGGGGAAGTGCTGCTGTACATGCTGCTCTGGCAGTGTTCACTCGCAGGATGAGTGGCGTTGTCTAATGAACTCGCCAAACTCATTTTAAACCGCCGCCAGCCGCCTAGACCACTACTAGGCCAGCTACTGCGTCGAGACCAGCATGGGGTTAAGGATAATCATCATCAGTTTTTCTGTCAGGTGGTGATGGTAAATGCTAGTCACAAGCCAGACCAATACGCCCCACGGGAAATTAATATGAAAGTGATCAAATAATATGGAAACTAGAATGAAATGTAAAGGAATCGGTGGGCGGGTGTGGACTGTAGGCTAGACAAATACGGTCGAGGAAGGAGCTGGCGGGGGGCAAGTACGGGGGAGAAGGGGGCTGGAGGGGGCCAAGTACGGTCTACGAAGGAGGTGGTGGAGGGGCAAGTAGGGGAGGGAGAAGCGGCAGGTGTGGTACACACTGGCACTACCACGTGCTCGCCCCCCTCCCTGACCCACCGCGCTCCCCAGGGTTCATCCTCCATCACCCACACCAACAAGGGAGGAGGTCACAGGTACACGCGCCGAGAGAAAATGGGAAAGGAAACTCCAAGTATTGGCAGCAGTCGACCTTTTCAGTGCTAACGTAAACAGGTATCCTTCAGCTTCCTAAGCAGACAAGCGAGAAGCTTACCTCTATGGCCCGGTGTGACACAGCAAGCACACGGGAACACAATAACTGAAGCTTAGCCACCAGACGTAACCGAGACAGAGGAGACGGAAGGTGGAGCGGAGAAAGTGGCGGACACGGAGCTTCGGGGCACGAGGTGTGGGGGGAGGGGGCGGGGCATAGGGGAAGAGACTTCTCCACGACTAGTGATCGTTATTGGAAGCGATTCTGGCGCACGGAAAAGGAGGATAAGAGGGTTTGGGCACGGAGAATAATGTGTGTGAGTGGGGGGGGGGGGGATGATGCATGGCGCAGGGAGCACGAGGGACCTCACCTCCATGTTTCCTGGGAATCAGGAAACTGTCTCGGGGTTGGTGTGATGGTGTAATGACATAATTGATTACATCGGAAAGTACAACAACGAGGTCACTAGTGTGTCCCAGGTGGTCTGGTCGAGGACCGGGCCACGGGGACCTTGAGCCCTGAAATCATGGCAAGGTAACCTCGGGGAAGACAGCAAGCTAGGGAACGGGTGCCTGATGAAGGGAATTATTAGGCGAAAGCGCCATGGCAATACAAATATATACCACATGGAAGGGATAAGGATTTAGTTGGCGGCGGGAAGGAATGGTGCCCAACCACTTTGACGCTCGGGAATTGAACGCCAACCAGCAGGAAACAAGACTAGCTCTATCGTCCAACTCTAAAGTTGTAGGGCTGGGGCTGTGGGAGCTTGGGGGTAGGAATGGGTGCTTGGGGGGAGTGGTCAGAGGAAGGGGTGAAGGAATAAATAAGAAAGAAGGGCATCGCCAACTTTCATCCAAGAGCATCCGGGTGAGCACGATCACCAGGAAGGGTCACCAAATATCAACACTACAACCCCAAGTTCCACACTATTACTGCACCACACCAAACACAACAGGTTACGCCAGCTCCATCAGTATATCGCACCACCCCTCTGCCCTTGACTCCAAGCCCTCAGCTCCCCCCCCCCACCTCAGCTACTTCGCTCCGAGGAACAATGTCCCTACGACCCGGCCTCTTAACGAGCCAACCTAGTGTACTTTTACAGCGTCTACTTTTAGACGCTGCTGCCCGTTGCAAGACGGTGATGAGGAGCCCTTCGGAGGCGTTAATTCCCCGTGATGACAAGTAGAGCAGTGGGCTCGCAGCTTTCAAGGCGAAACGTTATGGGTCATCCGGAGGCCGAAGGTTACGCTTGTCTTCAGTGTTTCTTCGCCCTATCCTCACCACCTCTTTAT